GAGTGGACCGGTGGCAAAGTCAACACTTAGCTAGTGAACAGCAGAGAAGTGCTTTGAGGGAGCACTTTTGATTTCTAGACATTGTATTTATTGATATAGGATCTCTGAGGTATTGGAAAGGGACCAGGACCCTTATTCATCTTGGATTCCACCTCAGAGGATGGTGGTACTAATTCAGAATTGAATGAATATGTAGAATGAATGAATGTGTTTCATTAAAACATGTCTCTTTGTTGGTCAGCAAGAAGTCCTCAATTAGGCCCAGAGTATCTGACATTCTGGGATCCCTTCAAATGCATGGTGATTGATTACTGTCAGTTGGCCAGAACCACCATAATATAGTATAATATTCAGCCACAAAATTTCCCAAGCGGGTACTGAAGGAAGGGGAAATTTTTCTTTCTGTTCAGTCTGGAACATGAGGAAAGATCTGGCAAAGAAGAATGAGGAGGACCTAGCCCTGATTTGGGAAGCAACCACGGCCTGTGTGGTTAACCATAATGTGAGGAATCCAAGAAGTAGGGAGAGGCCACTTGTGTCAAACACTGCTGAGAGTGTTTGTAAGATCGAGAGCGAATTTGTCAGAGAAAACAGCAGGAAGAAAGTAGAGATAAACACTTGAAGCGCTTTGGCAGTCATGTAGGCAATGGCCGAGGAAGTGTATGGAGGTCAAGAAAGTTGTTTTGTTTTGTTTTCTAAGATGGTAAATATTTTCAGTGGTTGAGATCAGCTTGGTAGTTGGTAGAGGGGGTAAATCAGTGATGAGGGAATCAGGGGATTAATTGCAGCAGTAGACTTCTTGACAGGGTTGGCATCTTCAGGAAGGGGCAACCACTATTTAAGTGTATAGACAGTGGATTTTCCCAGCAGGAGTGAAGGTAATACACCGGAGTTCTGATTCCAGGCCAGAGACAGAGGTAGGTACTTCGCTTTCCTCAGTGAGATGGGAAATAAGGGTGTTGACTGAGGATGTGGAAGGGTTAAGGGAATGAAAGGTGTGAAAAGCAAATGAAGTTGGAAATAGCTGTACCAGAAACAAAGTGATCTGGATCTGTCAGAGAAGGTGTGAGATTTCCAAGAAGTCCTGAGGGTCTCCAGTTGTGACTTCAAGTGAGACTGCCAGCTTCCTTATGTGTCCCTCTTCCCTTCCTCTTCCAGAATCACGTGAAGCTTCTCCAAGACAGTTGTGAAAGAAAAAAGCCATTGAAGATAGCAGGCACGAGAATTACTACAGAGAGAGAGAGAGATTGTGGAATTGAAGCTGAGGGCAGTGTAGGTGTGAGTGGTACACTGGAAAATCGAGCCGAGGGAAGAGCTTTGGGTCTTCCGTCTGTCTCAGTACCCTGCAGAACCTAGAAAGGGCTAAGAAATCGCTATAGGAAAAAAAATCTCAAGTATTTGATCAATAATCCCCTCAGTCCAGGAGCATTTCTTTCCTTTATTCTCCTTTAGGTTATCGTTGGTCTCCCACTTGGGCACTCCTCTCCTGTCCGTGCCCTCTCTCTCTACTTTCCATTCTTCACCCTTTGGAGTCCAAGACTCATCCTGCTTCAGCCAGTTTCATTCACACTTCCATAAACTTATGTTAAATCTGTGCTGCGAAGGCCCAGTCCACTTGAGCCTCACATTTTCAGAGTAGAGCACCAAAAAGACATACCTTCCTCTTAAGTGACTTGCTTAAGGGAGCAAGCAGCCTCTTCCCCTTTCACTCTTTAGTGTGGTAGGTGTTTTCTTCTGTGGGTTCTACAGTGATGTGCATTCTATGAGCTTTAATTAGCACGCGCTCCTATCCCAATGCCTCCAGTTTTGGCAAACAGCTTCGTTAATGCTGGCTGTATTCTCCTCGGTGTTTATCTTTTCAGGTATATGGAGGGCTCTCCTTCCAGTGTTTCTCCCATTAGATATCTCACCAGCTTCTTCTAGCCAGTCACTACATCTGAGGATCATCTTGGGGGTTATTGTAAGCGCAGGATAAAACTTCTTGCTTTCTTTCCAGTGCCCAGCTCTGAGGATGCCCAGTAGTTTGTTGGCATTCTTAGCGGACTGTAAAAATGTGTTATGCTATATCCGTCAAGGCAACTTATAGTGATATCTGTATCCCCTTGTTGGGTCATGACTCAGCCCTCAGGGACCTTCCCTTTGAATGCTTTCACATCTATTTTTGAAAACCCGAATGTATTACCTGGACCTCATCCAGGTGCAAAGTCATCTGCCATTCTGTGCCGGCTCATATAGTCATAAGTACTTCCTGAAGTCTACCCCATCTGCTTGATCCTTTACATCCAGGAAGAAGTAAATACCATTCCCAAACAGAAAGGTTACGAAAAAATGACATCATTTGGAAACAGGGAAATAAAGCTGAGGCTTTAGTCTCCTGTTGCTTTGAAATTGCTTAAAATTTGAACTAAACAGATGACTCAGACCTAGAGATGCCAATTTTTATACATATGGGAGTCACTGCAGGGACTTGGCTGTCCTCTTTACAGGCCCTTCACACTGCAGTCCTGCTCTGGAACATACGTGGTGGTGACCTACAACCTTATGGGGCCCTGGGAGGCAGTGTAGAGTCAATGGCTGCCCTACATCAATTTATGGGGGACCTTGTGGAGTGAGAAAGGGGCTTGGGCATTAGCATTAGGTTGATCTGGTCAGTTGACACTCTGATTTCCTGCCTGATACAGTCATCTCATTAAGCTGCATTTTTCTCAACTGCAAATTGAGGAACACAATAATCCTGAATCACAGCTTATTGCTAGAAGTAACTGAAATCTACATTTAAAATATGTACCATGATACCTAGACGGGAGCTGCTAAATTCATATGATTCTCTTTTAGTTTTAGTTTTTTCATGGTGTGTCTATGTGTGTGTGCGCGTTTCTCTCTGTGAGTACACATGATGTTGAGGCCAAAGGACAACTTCAGCATTCCTCAGCAGCTGTCTACCTCAGGTTTTGAGACAGGGTCTCTTGCTAGCCTGGAACTTGTGCAGTAGGCTAGGCCCGTGGGAGCCACCTGTCTCTGCCTCTCCAATCCTGAGATTAAAAGCCTACCTGGTTTTTTTTGTGTGTGGGATCCGAGGACTGAACTCTGTCTTTATGCTTACACAGAAAGCACTTTAGTGATTAAGCTATTTCTCCATCCTAGTTTAGTAAGATTTCTTTCCTTTTGCTTTGTTTTGTGATAATGTTACTACGTTCCCCATACTGGCCTCAAATTCATGATCTTCCTGCCTCAGCCTCCCAAGTGCTTGTATTACAAGAGAATACCATAAATACCAATCATATTGTTAATTTTTAAAGTCTAATAAACTTAACACTGCTCAAGAAAACTCATGTTTTCTCTGAGTCCTACTGTCTTATCTGTAAAACAGTGTCAACATGAGAATAACATGGGATAGCTTCCCCCTGTGGCTCTGTAGCACAGCTTCCGAGCCCTTACCATGCATTTCCTCTGAGTGGTTTTGTAGAAATGCTACAGGAGGATGTACCTGGCCAATTCACTTCTAATTTCTGAGGACCAGTTGTGAGAGCAAAGACAAAACCTCTTTCCTAGGCACTCAAGAGCCTATGCTTCTAGTTCAGATCTGTGGGGGAGGGGCAGGGATATTACGTTTCCCCCTTAGAATGCAAAAGTTCTACTTGGAGGAGTGTATGGTCCTATGGTCAGGGCGGTGTCTGTAGAAATGGAGGAGGGATATAGTGACAGGAGACTGCCATAGGCGGATAAACCAGAAACTTCCTTAAAGTACATGAAGTAGGACATGAAGTGGGGATGATGCTAAAAGGAAGGTAGAGGCAGACGAACAGGATCCTGAATTGCTGATGCTACAGAGCGTGCAGAAGAGGCTCCAGGGCACAGTAGCTGGAAATGCTTTGGCAACTCCTGCTCCTTCTTTCTCTTCTTACAGCAATGTGAGCGGTTGACTGTTCGCACTGGTTGAAGTAGCAGATGGGTTCACTCATGGTAGCACGTGGTCTGGGCTCAGTTCCGGATTCTGTCACGTGCCCTTTTCAGTCTCAGTTGTTTCACCTATAAGATGGAGAGGATGGTTCTTATCTTAAAGTCACTGTGACTATCACATGACAGAGGTAAAGAGTGGAACACTGTCCCTACATTGTGAAAGCTTCTGAAGAAACTCTAGATCCCTTCCTTGCCTCACCCCCCCCTCAGCTTCACTACACATCTAACTACCAAATAGAACTAATTCTCGGATCCTTCCTTCCTTAATAGAAAAAGCTTTGCCTGCCGTAAAACGTTAGCAAATAGTGACTGAGTTGGGGGTTTTCGGGGAAGAGCTGTATAAGGGCGTGTAGAGTGCGCTCATTTGTTTTGTAGATACATTGTAATGACTTTTTACCACAAAACCCACTTGGGGTTGTGTTAAATAAAGAACTAATGCCTCTTTGCTCTTTTTCCTCAACCCTTTTTCCTCTCATGCAAATCAGAAACATTCATCTTTTGTGGCTCCCTGGCCTCTTCAATATGGGAAAACTCATAACCTAGCTTGTTTTTTCTCCCTGAAAATAAAATAGTTGTGAAATACTCGTAACTTCTGAGTGTAATTCCAACCCTCTCATTGCTAAGGCAATGACCCAAGCAAACGACATTAGATAAAGTTACAAGTCCGAGTGTCAGGGTGGAGGCGATATTTGGATGAGATAAATTGAAGTTCTCCATAAAGTTGCACAAATTCTTACAAGCAGAATAGACTTTACATAGAGCTATTAGACTGAGCCATTAACTCGCCTGGCTTCTAGTTCATCTTCCAGAGATCCTTAGACTTGCTCATAGTATTCAGACTCCTTAGATATGGCTGCCGATGGTAGAAAATGTACGTCCTGGTCCTGAGGTCAATTCAGTCTGTTAGGACCTTGGTCCTCTTTTCCTCATCTTCCCAGTGGATGTCATGAAAGCCCATTAAGAACTTTCTGACTGATATTGAGTGACACAAGACATCCTAAGCACAAGGGTCAGTTTCTCTTCTTTGTTTTTATGTCCAGGTCACAGCTCCTTGGAGTCACCCTCAAGCACTCCTTCTCCTGATAATTTTGTGTGGAATCTGACCTGGATAATGAAAGATTCCTTCCCTTTCCTGTCCCATCGCAGTCGATATGGTAAGTATATTTTTTGTAGTTATTTGTAATGTAACTTCATTCCCTTTTAATTTAGGAAACTCTGAGTTTCCTCTTGTAATAAATTGTGCTCAGGAATCTCTCAATCCCTATAGAAAAATACGTATTTCTCCATCCTCTGTCTTCCAATGGTACCTCAAAATATAAGACCATTTTAGCTAAGATATTCATGTTGCATCGTATTGGAGGAAGTCAAGAGCTTTCTTGCTACTGTATCTCATCCCCCATGTCTTCCTGGTACATCGATTCCTGATATCCCTTTACTATTTACTGGGTGTAATGTTTATTTGCATTTGACTATAGCTATCTGAATATAAGGTTGTAATCCATGACATCTCTGTAGACCAAGATCTCTTAAGAGGGGATTGTTATTAGGAGGGTCACAGGTTTTCCAGGACCCCTTTCATGACTGCTTTATATTTGGGAAACTTCTGAAAGATTCTCAGACAAGATATTTGATATTATTTCTGCTCATTTGATTGTTTAATAGGGAGAGATGTTCAATAAGGAGAGATGGTCCAATTCCATATTTTACAGATGTAGAAACTGAGCTTAACAGTATCACACAGAGGTCTCAGTACTCACCCTAACAGCTCATAATAGTTGGGACTCTGAGGTAGGAGGACCAGGGCTACAGGAAAGCTGGTGCATTTATTTCCAAGGAACACCTTCACTTCTTCATGTGCTCTGGGGAACAGTACTATGCTGTGTTTACTGGCCACTTTTTTCCCTCACATGGAGGTGCTAAGGGCTTATGTATGATGGATGAATGAAAAGGCTTCCAGAGATAGAATTTTCTCATCAGGCCTGATTCAATTAAGTATTTATGAACCCAGCATAGCACTGAGTTCTAGATGCCCTTCTGGGCATATTTACCTATTCCTGCTACTTGGTCTCTGCCCTTGGGCCTGAGCTATTTAAAATGCACCTAACAGACATGTTCCACTCACTGTAGAAAAACTGGTCAAAAGCCTGCTGTCCCTCATCTATTACACAGTTAGTATCAGTTCATATTAATGGTACCTTTCATTTCAAATCTAAAGAAAGAAATGCATTTAAACCCCCAAGGCAGTTCAGGATTATACTCTGAGCTGAGATGTTTCTTCTTACTCTGAAGCATCCCCAGAGGGGGGGAAGGCTCAGTGGTTCTCAGGAGAGCCTAGATAAGAATTACTTCTTGATTTTTATTTAAGCCAGACACTGAGTGCCATCTTACGATAAGGCCAAGTGTCTATAAATAATTGAAATTTGGTCCTTTGTGTAGATAACGCTTTGTAGCCAGATTTGTAACATAACAGGTCTTCAGATAACACTTTTTAATTTTCCTTCAAAGTCATTCATTGTCTCTATAGGATGACAACTTTTATAAAATGTAGAATGTCCAAAGAAGGTAGGTCTGTCTGTCTGTCCCCTGTGTCCCCCAGACAGCAACATATTTATTCCCTATGGAGCTTGCTGAAGGAGGTTGCATATGGGAAAGAGAAATCCAGGGGAGTTTACTAAGCCTCTGCCTACCCACCTCTTGCCTTTGATAAACCCTTTTCCTCTCTCTGAGCCCCACCTTTCTTATCTATAAAATGGAGTACCATGGTGACTTAAGGCAAAGGAATAGGCCAACTCATTTCCCAAGATCCCTCTCAAACTGTCCTTGTGACTTAAAACCTCATGATTTCCCTTCTTGGTTGAGAGGATGTAAACCACTGGCTAGTTGACACCCAAATGCTGGAAGATAATGCCAAAGTCAGCACCACCATGAGTGCTGAATCATGCAGAAAGGAGTCGCTGACTCTTGATTAGTGACTCTGTGATGGGGTACAATGGCACTTTCACATCCTCTGTGTCTTCCTGACATATTTAATTCTGTGAGATTTATGAAGACTTCATGATCACCATCAGCCCTACCACCTGCACTTCCACATCTGTGTGTCTAGCCCTGTGCCGGCCACTGATGCTGATATAAATTCAAAGATCAGCAAGACTTGGCCCTGGCCTCTCAGAGTTCATAGGCCAAATAAATAATTCTGTAGGCAACTAAGCCCATTTGCCACAATGAGTGACACTGAGGGCTTACCCTGAGACCTGTTACAGAGAAAGCTGAAGACACAATTCAGGCCAAGACACCCTTCTCCTTAACAGTGTTTTGTGGTGCTCGCCTACATACCTATGAATCAAAGAGACCAGCAGGCTCATGAGTGATAAATCCATACCTTTCACCTGCCAGGAAAGACATTTTAAGAAATGTTAACAACTTCATTAATTTTAAGTCCTCTAACGTGGGCAGAGAAATTTGACTGGAAAATTGCTGCCTGAAGGGATAGCTCTTCAGACAACTGAGAGATGTCCTGTAGTCTGGGCTGGTCTAGAGTGAACCGTCATACTTGATTGATTGACTTCAACTATATTCTGGTGGAACAGCTGTGGGGAGTGGAGGGACAGTGAGATCAGTAACCACAACATAGGCAACATGATTGACAGCTACAGTCCAGTTCTCACTCAGGCAGGCTGTCCACCCAGAATGGAGAGGTACCTTTCTTCTTGCTAGTGTTTTATGAGAAGAGACGAGGTAGAAAAAGGCTAATAATATTTACTCACCCCCAGCCTGTAATTATCTGGTTGAGGAAAAAGTTTGACCTACCTTTTAGAAGATTCCCCATATTTCTTCCAATTTACGTCGAGGCCTTTTATGTTGTATAAAATATATTCTCTTCAGTAGCATTCAGTATCATATTCCAGCTCTTTCTTCCTCTGTCTTGAATGACGATAGCAGGCTAATTTCATCATGGGGAGCTGAGAGCTGCGTGTTCCTCCCTGGAGGCTTTGAAAGGGGGAGAGCATCTGAAGAAAGATGTTTTTCTGTGTTTCCTTTTATCATCAGTTCTTATGCCTTTGGATTTATTTAGATGCTTGGCTGGAGAATTAGACTCTAAGTACGAACCCAAATTCATATGTGCTCTATCAAGTCCCCACAGGATGCTTCCAGACTGTAGCCATTAGGGTTCCAAAAGGGAGTGTTGATCACGTTGAGTTCTAGAGCTGCAGGGACAGATGGTATTCTTACTCATTTTAACACATATTTGCCCACTTTGGGGCTAGAAGAATAAGATCAATATTTATTATTATTACTATTTTATGCATGGATGTATATGCATATGTGTTTGTGTGGGAGGGATACATGTGTATGCACGTGTGTGCGTGTGTGTGTGTGTCAGAGGACATCTTTGTGTGTCATACTTTGGAATGCTGTCTCCCTCCTTTGAAACAGAGTCTCTCATTGGCCTGGAGCTGACCAATTAGACTAGACTGGCTGGCCAGTGAGTCTCAGGTATCCCCTGTCTCAACCTCCCCAGCACAGGAATTGCAGACATGCACCACTGTGCCTGCAGTTTTACTCAGGCCCTCAGTCTTGCATGGTAAACACTTTACTGACTGAGCTATCTTCTAAACTCCCCAATCAACATTTTTAAAACAGAATAACCAAAGGTCCTTCCCCAGGCAGGTAGCATAAAGAGTATTTTCTTGTTTTAAAATGTGATACTTTGAAAAACCCTCTCTTACACATTTTACTCATGTAAGCAATCTTATGCAGTTAGGGTAGGTGGAAATATTTTATATCCCAAGTTTACAGATATGTCAGTTAAGGGTGAAAGGAATTTATTAATGTGCTCTCAAGCTGCAAAACAGGTAAAGTCAGAAAAGTCAGATTTTTCTGACCCCAAGCTGAATGTTCTAGTACATCACAAAATTATTATAAAGAGGAACTTCCCTCCTTGGAGAATATTCACCATTCCTGAAAGCCAGAGAGTTAAGACTAAATGATCAGAGTGATATACAAAACCTTGGGCATCTGTAGGACTAAGACTTGATAACTGTGAATTGAGATCAACTGGAACAGGTTAGTCTATTCACTTTCCAGGAAGCACTGTAGGTAGTCTTACATGCTTTTCCATCACTTATTTTCCATCTGAGACTGTGGTACCTGTTATGGGTTGAATTGTGTCACCCCAAAAGATACATTAAGGTCCTAAGACCCCAATACCTATGAATGAGACTTCATTTGAAAATAGAATCTTTGCAGATATAATCAAGTTAAAATGACACCACACTGGATTAGGGTAGGTCCAGATCCCATATAACTGATGTGCTTATATGGGAAAATAGAGACACAGACACGCACAGGGCAAACTCCATGTGACTATGAAGTCAGAGGTTGGAGCAATGCCTCCGATGCCAAGGAGCACCAAGGTTGCTGGCAGCACTAGAAACTAAAAGAAGGCCTGGATCAGATTCTCCGGAGCGTCAGAGGTGGCATGGCCTTGACAGTTCTTTGATTCCAAATACCTGACCTCCAGCACCCTGGGAGAACAATATTCTCTTATTTTAAGTCACCCAGATTGTTGGTCTTTGTTATGACATCCCTAAGAAATGACTACAAACCATTATCCATCCTGTCCCCTACAAAGTCTACAACTTTGACTCCTACAAAAGAAAATATTCCTCCCAACATCTGAGCACAAAAAGACATTGTTGGGATTTGAATAAAAGTTCTATTAAAAAGTTGTCTTCTTTCTGGACCAGGGGGAGCCTGTCAAATTTAGGGGCTGGGGCTTTTGGAGAGAAAAATTAGATTTTTTAAAATTACTTTCCTTGCTGTTACCACCACCACCAGACCAGTTAATTTATCAATTTCTTTCACTGAGAAGACTGGGTAAATTAAATCTCTCTCTCTAAAAAATTTAACCTAACACAGAATCAAAAATGGAAAACAAAAAGGCCCTCCAGCTTCCCTGTGGGAATTGCTTCAGAGCTCTGGCAAGAAGTCAGTTTGATCATATTTCTAAAATTGCATATTTAATGTGGCTGACCATGACCAGCCATGCAGTCTTCAGGAGCCTGGCATCATTGTAAAGCAGTCAACCTTCCCCAAGGACCATTGTCAGGGTTGAAAGCTTCCTTAGCCAGTCCTCTGCCCTAGACAGATCCAG